CATTTCATGAGTTTATTTCAAAATAAAAATTTATTAAATTTGATTGAAGATGAAGAAGGTTTACAGTTAATGGTGTTGAATTTCCCTTATTGGGGAAACGTATTGAAATACATGACTAAACAGACGGACGCCATTTTCTTCTTTTGTCATCATATAGTTTTATGTGCACCCATTGCCAACCACCTCTTTCAGATTGCTCTGATTATGAAATTAAACATCATATCAGTTCATTGAAGGTATACATGTGCCTAGACTAAATATCCTTTCCTCTCTGTAAATAGTGTGGCAGTGCAACCACAACTTGGTTTGTTGTTTAACGCCGCTCGGTGCAATATTCCAGCTGTTTGTAAATAATGGAGTCAGGACCAGACAACCAGTGATTGACATCATGAACACCGATCCAAGTAAACGGGATAAGATTACCTGCAACAACCATGTCAGCGACCCTGACTACCCGATCCCGTTAGTCGCCTCTGTTCGTATAGTATTTTCTGTTTCTGTGGCTCGTGTAACATTGCTGTTTTTGATGTTCGTATTGTATTTTTTGTTTCTGTGGCTCGTGTAACATTGCTGTTTCGTGTGTTCGTATAATATTGTTGTTTCCGTGGCTCGTAATATTGCTGTTTTTTGTTGTTCGTGTAGTATTGCTGTTTCTGAGAATGACCCCAGGGAGGGGGGGGGGGGGGGGGAGGCTCTTACCAATGGGCAGTGCTGCATTTAAGCTCAAATTCCACAAACACGCTTGCAAAAGTTTTCTCTCGCCCAACATTTACACTAATAAAATATCAGAATATTAGTCTCACACTGTACACAGTCTAAATGGGACACTCCGCGTATATTAGTCTCACACTGTACGCAGTCTAAATGGGACACTCCGCGTATATTAGTCTCACACTGTACACAGTCTAAATGGGACACTCCGCGTATATTAGTCTCACACTGTACACAGTCTAAATGGGCCACTCCGCGTATATTAGTCTCACACTGTACACAGTCTAAATGGGACACTCCGCGTATATTAGTCTCACACTGTACACAGTCTAAATGGGCCACTCCGCGTATATTAGTCTCACACTGTACACAGTCTAAATGGGCCACTCCGCGTATATTAGTCTCACACTGTACACAGTCTAAATGGGACACTCCGCGTATATTAGTCCCACACTGTACACAGTATAAATGGGACGCTCCGCGTATATTAGTCTCACACTGTACACAGTCTAAATGGGCCACTCCGCGTATATTAGTCCCACACTGTACACAGTCTAAATGGGCCACTCCGCGTATATTAGTCTCACACTGTACACAGTCTAAATGGGCCACTCCGCGTATATTAGTCCCACACTGTACACAGTCTAAATGGGCCACTCCGCGTATATTAGTCTCACACTGTACGCAGTCTAAATGGGACACTCCGCGGTTATTAGTCTCACACTGTACACAGTCTAAATGGGCCACTCCGCGTATATTAGTCCCACACTGTACACAGTCTAAATGGGCCACTCCGCGTATATTAGTCTCACACTGTACACAGTCTAAATGGGCCACTCCGCGTATATTAGTCCCACGCTGTACACAGTATAAATGGGACACTCCGCGTATATTAGTCCCACACTGTACACAGTCTAAATGGGCCACTCCGCGTATATTAGTCTCACACTGTACACAGTCTAAATGGGCCACTCCGCGTATATTAGTCTCACACTGTACACAGTCTAAATGGGCCACTCCGCGTATATTAGTCCCACACTGTACACAGTCTAAATGGGCCACTCCGCGTATATTAGTCTCACACTGTACGCAGTCTAAATGGGCCACTCCGCGTATATTAGTCCCACACTGTACACAGTCTAAATGGGCCACTCCGCGTATATTAGTCCCACACTGTACACAGTCTAAATGGGACGCTCCGCGTATATTAGTCTCACACTGTACACAGTCTAAATGGGACACTCCGCGTATATTAGTCTCACACTAAAGTATGACAATAGGCCCTCAACTAAGCTCTTTATATGTAATGTTGAATGTTCTCTACAGTGAGGTATTTTGAAAGTCTATATTAATCCATACGACAATATCTTCTCTACGATACCCGACCGCATTTAACGATGTTATTCACACAGCGATCAGAGCCGCCATTTCGTCATGGACTGCTGCGTGGAAACGCTAAATTGCATATTTACATTATGACAATCACCCTGGTAATATTTCCAGGCAACACAAGATTTAACCAAATCGGTGATAACGCTGTCTTTCTAATCCCCTTGTCGTTGCGTGTTATTTAAAAGAAATGAACGACCTGATTTTAAATCTATCCGTTGATGAAGCTGCGTATTTCATATCAGGAAAGCGAATACTGGCATATACCTGTTGTACCTCAGTAACATGTGCAACCGGGTAGCCGTATAATGTTGATGCAAGGGAACAGGTGTTAGACACTCCTGGTTCTCCCAGACCCAAGTCGAATGCAATCACGGGTAAGCGCTAACGGAGTGGCTGTGTCGGTATAGTCAGAATTCTTATTATGCAAACTGCTTGCGCTCGACTAAATCGCTTTGAGGTGAATGATCTGTGGGATTAACACAGCTTGGGCTAGTACTTCAGTTATAACACAGCGGACCCGTGAAGATCCGTGGTAGAATAGGTCTCCAGCAACCCATGCTTGCCGTAAAAGGTGACTATGCTTGTCGTAAGAGGCGACTAACGGGATCGGGTGGTCAGGCTCGCTGACTTGGTTGATACATGTCACTGATCCCAATTGCGTGGATCGTTGCTCATGATGTCAATCACTGGATTGTCTGGTCCAGACTCGATTATTTTACAGACGGCCGTCATTTAGCTGGAATATTGCTGAGTGCGGCGTTAAACAACAAACAAACAAACGAAATTTGCCATCATTCACTTGATGCTTGGTGAATTTATTACAGGTATAATTAGCGCTAGCAGCACTCAGATTACCAAATAAAGGTTCCCATTCGTCATTTCGTGTGTTTAGGGTAATTATTCAATTTAAATCCAGGTTTGAAGTGAGGTGAAATGTGTGTTATGTAATATGCACGTGGTAGCCCAGAAAGAGATGAATGATCAGTTGATTTACTATTTGTAAATCAGTGGATCATTCCTCGCCATCAAAGGATCAACAGAAAATACGTTGATTGATTAATCACTGTTATCTTGCACGGTGGATATGTCAAAAGTAAGTGTTTACATGTGTAGGTTTACTAAAGCCAAGGGAATACACTGACATCATGGCGTGAACTGCCGATGTAAAAACAACATACTTTGTTCAAAGGGTTAACCGATAATACGTTGATTGATTGCTCATTGTTATCGAAGTCAATGGATTGTTTTAAGAACCGTGGACATTATGAAAATAGTTATCACGAGGGCTTTCTCAGCTGACCTTTGAGACTTGACACCTATGTGAAACAACTGAAACAAACTAAGTGATCAGTTGAGAAACGAACACGGGTTATAATATCCCGAAACGATATTTTAAAATATTTGATTCTTACAGACTCGTGACATCGAATAAGTTTCTTTGTACAGCTGCAGATGTGTGGGATATTGTTCTTTTATGTGGATATTCACGGATACATTCCTCGAACAGCGAAGCTGCCTAAAATTATACATATAACTTTGGTAGGTTACAATTATGATGTTTGCATTTTGTTTTTAAGCATTTGCTGTGGCATTGAATAGAATCATTCTTATTCATCTACATCTTGGTTGGGAAGTTCGATTCGCGATAGACTTCTTTTCCTTTGTAAGCGTGTATATGTTACAGTCAATGTGTAAAATGTGATTCACTCAGGCAATGTCTAAATATTTCAGTCATTTTACAAATTGACTGAAAAATCTGTCTATTTATTTAACAGATAGACTAAAAATTATTAAGACGGTCAAAACATCACAATAGATTAATAATGCTAGGATTAGAGGCCAAACAATATACAAATGTACTTTTAATCCTAACATTTTCAGTCACTTGGTGATGATATTAAACATGAAAATGTTTGGAATTCGTTATCATAATAATACAGACGGACTTGTAAAATAACTGAATATTTAAGTGTTTAATAAATTTCCTAAGTGAAAATTTTGCACATTTTGACTGTAAAATTATAAACATGATAAAATAAGTAATGCTCGGGTGAAATATTTACTTTGTGTTGCAAGTCAAAATAGTGTAAACGAACATTGCACAATTACCAAGCATGTGAATTATAAAAACTTCGTCACCATTACCGATGCTACCCACAAAGATACCTCCGTTTCCATATTATTTCCAAAACTGTATTTCATTTTGTTGATCAAAGTGACCATACGCCCTTATCATGCTTATACTATCAATAAAAGTGACAAATGCGCTACGAATTGCGCAGCACAGGTCGCGAACTAGTCTAGATTTCCCGGGGAATTGCTTCAGATCAGTGCCCTTTTATACTGTCACTGTTCGATTGACGCAGATGCAAGGCAATCAAAAACACTGCATAATAATACCGTTCATAGTGTTGCTGCACGTGCAGTACGTGCAGCTCCATGGCCATTTTGTTAATGCACTGGATGCGTTTTTCCGAATCGTACGTGTCTCCCGACTAATGATTTGCATGTCTTGGTTGTGATCATTTTGATCAGGACAATTTGTCAGTGACATTATAACACATTAAACCTCTTCATTAACACATTAAACCTCTTCATTTTGCACCTCTTGGTCCGCTAATTTTGCTTATATGACCAAAAATATGCGTATTGCGTTTCTTTTTTTGAAGAGTATACATTGTAGCTGGAATGTTGCAGAGTGCGGCGTTAAACAACAAACAAACAAAACACACTATGCCGTGAACTTTGCCGGCACAATAGACTGGGCCCACTTGCACAAAGGGGTTGCGGTGCGACTTTTATTGTAAGTCGACGTGAAAGTATATACATCCTTAGCGCTAAGATTGCTTTGTGCAAGTGAACCCTGTTTGTATATTTATTTTAAAAAGAAGCAAAAATAATAAGTATCTATTCATTTTATTGTAAAAGTAAAATATCAATGTAAAGGAATTCTGATTCAATGCATATAACATGTAACGTTGCAGGCGTAAAACACGTAGTACAAATGCACGATGATGCCAGTATATATTACAATTGACACAGAACACATTATACAGTACACATATACAACACGCTCATTCATCCATGGATATATATATCGAATAGTAATCATCATATTTACAAACAAGAAATATACAATTCTATTGACAAGACGAGTCGTTATTGTGCCTTATAACGCGATGATTCACGGTCCGGTGAACTTTTGAATCTGAACACCTGATTGAACCCGCGACATATGGACCTAACGGAGTACACGTTATGAATTATGACTTTTAACTGTTCCTTGTTCGTAAGTTTGGGAATTCGAGTTTTAAGGAAACCACCGTAAAAGAATTGCCTTAAAGAAAAACGATTTCATATGTTTTAGCATAAGTGATTTTTAACCACGTAGACGACAAGGGCAGGTAACTCCTTCACATTTTCAATTGCTAATGTAAAACATTTACCTATTCTTTAACTATGTACCGTATAAAACATCTACTTTTCACAACCTAAACAACGAGAATCGATGTGGCAGTGTCACAGCCTATAGGTTCAATGTCCTCCTGTCATTGCTACAACACCCGTATATAGTCATGACGCTTTGATCTAGTCCGAGGTCAATGCATAATAGATCGTTGCCCACGTTTACTTTGCGTGATTGGAATATGTATGACAAAAGGCACAGAAAATGCCTTCCCCCAAAATGTTTTTAAAAAAAGGTTAACGCAATTTCTCAAAATACGAAAGAATAACCAATCATTTGTACAAGGTGTAAAACATTTCAGGTTATTTGGTGTCGAAAGTTATGAGAAAATGCAGTTCCATGTTTCTCTTTTATGGGGCCTACTCTGCAAGTATTGCCTATAAAGAAACTCAAGTTATACCGCATGTACAACGAACAATACCACGTGTGTAAGGAACAATAGAATCATTGATAGCACCAAGAAACGCTCACTGTGAGAACTGTCTCCAGTGTTGCCTCGCTCATGCATATGCAGGAGTCGAAGAGCAAGCAGAGGTATGAAAGAGCAATATCATTGATAATAGTATTAATATACCAATTGCAAGATGTTAACTTCTTGCCAAAATGCCGCTTCAAGTCGATATTAGGTGAGTCTTTTCAAACGCAACCCACACTTACATATATCTGCGTAAGTGGTCTTAAATATGTACAGAATGTTAGGGATTTCGTCAATGTTATCAACAAGGGTAGAAAAGCTCGTGCAATAATTTTACGATAAAGGAGATTCTCAATGCTGATTGGTCAGTTTGGGCGACACACATCCATGCTCCAAAATCGGTATAATGGATTACTTGTCACATGGGACAAATCATTTACTTAATTTCTCTTATGTAGCCCATTTCTGGTGTCCCCCGCCGTGATATTGCTGGCATATTGCTAAAAGCGGCGTAAAACCATACTCACAAACTCACTCACTCTTTTCTTATGCTGTAAATATTTGCACTTGACGTCACAGCTTGATCAGGGCATGTGAATGTCCACTCATCACAGTACAGAATGTCCAAAACCAGTTGGCCTATACTGCATAACGTCAGTTCGTTTCTCCATATGCCAAGCAAGAATGTTTCTCCGACGTAACAGATCTCTCGCATAATATGGAGGTCAGATTCATCCGCACCAGAAACATAGTTCAAGCAATATGTCCATTCGTCATCAATCGCCCTTCCATAACCAATTTGTCTCGAATGGAACGAATCGGGGCGGGATGTCGCCGACTGGATTTCAATTTGTTGAAGCAGAGTTCTTAAGTAGAGTTATCTCCCCTACACACTCATGACATTAATACCGGCGTTTTTTAGGATCGCTCTCGCGACGTCAATAACAATACCGCTGGTGTATTTTACCATGTCGGCATCAAGTTCTGGGAAGTTGTCGACCCAGTGTAGAGACATGGTGTCATTCTGCCAGCTGAACGATCGACCTGGCTTGTTCTGGATGAGCCTTGACCTATAATCACCCTGCCACGTGGGATGGCAGTTGTGGTTGAGGCATTTTACCTGAAGATGGGGATTCAGCAGCATCTGTTCGGGATGCAGCTCTAGTTCGTGGTATGACAAATAGTGGTCCATAAACCAAAAGTCTTTGTCGTTAAATTTCTGAAATACATGTCGCAGACTTTTCAGATACCCCGAGTTTCTTTTCGCCATAAGTGTGCCGTGATTTATTGACTCCGGCCAGCGCCCATGCATATGCCAGTCAGGGGAGGCAACTGCGCTATAACCGAATAACTCGTGGGGCACTTGCTGGGTCCACAGAACATTGTGGTCGTTGTAAACGCCGCCGTATTTCAAAAGGATGTCTACACGCATCGTGATGGTTGCCATGGGAACGGACATCTGTTCTCCCGATTCCGTTTCTGGAAACTCCCTGTAGACGTAAACAAATCTGTGGTCAGAGGACAAGCGTCTCCACCAAGTACCTTGAGGAGGAAGGGGTCCATGGATGAAGACTTTCTGGAAACCGGCGACGTAGATGGAACTGAGCATGCTCAAATATCCGGTGAATTTGATGAAGGGGTCCTCAAGGCAAATGTAGTGAGCTATTCTTGGTATAGGCGACTTGAGGTCAAAGTTGGGCTCGATATGACGAGTGCCATACATAATGACACGTGACAGCGTGGAGAACTTGTTCCTGCTCTTCCATATGTCCTTAGGAAACAGCTCCCGGTTGATAGTCACGCAGATTATCTCCCCTTTCCTGTCCCTGTTATATTTGGTCTCAGACGCACATGGTTTCAGACCGCCATGTTGCTCCCGCCCCTTTGCCATGACAACCTGCAACTCCTCCGGGGATTTGGGTTCGTTGAAACTAAGCCTCTTGCCAACCATTAGTCCCTCCAGGAACTCAGTATGCGTCCGTGCGTAGGCACCCGTGACAAGAGGCATGCTACGGAGGTGTACGGGAAAGTCTATCAAGATGGCGTCCTCCGGTGTGTAGATGCCGCCATATTTGTGCAACAGACTCATTACTAGCATAAACCGACCTGCTCCTTTTCGGTGGCATGACGTGTCGTTGAGTTTGTGTAACAAAAGATGTCCGATTTCTGCTAGGGACTGGTTAAACCACCGGTAATATTCTTCAGAATCTGTTGTCGGAAGTTCTTCGTAATGAAAGTAAACTTTATCAGGTTTGATCACTCTCACGGCGCTCTTTAACGCAAGGTAATGTTTGAATTCAAAATGGCGACTACCACACCATATGTAATGGAGTGTTGACGGAGCGAGGTCAGGCAGAAGGTCATTGCTGGGGTCATATTCCGCTGGAATGTCAAGGTCGGTCGCTTCGGGCTCTTCTTCTACTTTTTGGACTGCTTTCGGGAAGCGGTTGTTGATGGTGTCGACGATGTATTCGCTATCGGCAGTGTTGACCCTGTTGACACGTGCCTGCATCATCTGTAACGTCGCGTCGTTGAACGCCATCACCAGCACGCACAACAGCACCGTCGTTACCCAGAATGCAGTTCGCTTGGTCTTCCGGCTGCGCGGTCGAAGGCGGACGCAAAATTTCATAAACTTCATCTTGGTTGTGGCTGTAATAGACAAAAAAAAGCACGTTATTTTTTTTGCAAAGTAAGACGTTTTTATCAACGTATTCCTGAAAAAACAACATCATCATACTTAGTCTTCCTTAAGGTAATCTCATTCATACAGGGGCGGTCGGGTAGCCTAGCTAGTGGTTAAAGCGTTCGCTCGTCACGCCGAAGATCCGGGTTCGATTCCCGATATGGGCACAATGTGTGAAGCCAATTGATGGTGTCCCGTGATATTGCTGGAATATTGCTAAAAGCGGCGTATATCAAACTCACTCACTCATTCATACAACTGGTTTAGTCATATTTGATAGCTCTGTTTGTTGAAGTTAAAAGCGATATATATTGTTTGTTACCAAAATGTTATTACAATTAGACATAACTATTTAAATTACGCAGTTTGTTTAAAAGTACAAAGTGTTAAAATAAATATTTAGTTCAAAGTTGTGTAAACATATAAGTCATCTGGGTAAAAAATATATACACTGTATTGTTGTAAATTGTAAATAGGGGCGGCGGGGTAGTCTAGTGGTTAAAGCGTTCACTTGTCACGCCGAAGACCCGGGTTCGATTCCCGACATGGGTACAATGTATGAAGCCCATTTCTGGTGTCCCCCGCCGTATTACTGGAATATTGCTAAAAGCGGCGTAAAATCAAACTCACTCACTACATTGTAATTGTCCTGTTGCCATGTAACGTGAATATATTTATGTATGATCGTCACATGCCACAGTGTGTGGACAGGAAGTCACGTCATGTCAAGATATACAGGAATATTAAATCCGATCGTAGCGCTATGGCGACCGTAAGCCTATGTGAAAGTATTGGCAGTACGGCAGTCGTAGGAGTAAGGACGCCTCGTTGGACTAAACACTAATATGATGAGATTGCCCCTCCTTAAAGAGATTTAGAATGTTCGTGTATGATTGACTGTGTTGGATATTACATTGGCGTTTATAAACACGTTCCAATCTTTAACAATATATTCGTCATTATTCACCACGATCGCATAACGCGTTGTTGGGGCACACGGGTGAGCTTATAATGTACCATAGAGAGGCGACACAATGGCAGCCGGGCTTGCCGTGTCTTTAGGGTGGGTCTCGCTGAGATAGTTGACAGGAGTCACACCCCGTTGTGATAACGTTTCACACACAGTAACAGAAGCTTGATATTCAATTAATTCACTTGAGTTCCTTCATTTAGGGCTCGATGAGAAGCGTTCAGGTGAAAGGAGACAGAGAGAAGGGGAGGAGAGTTGATGATATCTGGAGAGAGAGAGAGAGAGAGAGAGACTGGTCGAGATCGAGAGAGACTGGTCGAGATCGATAGGGAGAGGGGAGACTGGACGAGAGAGAGAGAGGGTGAGACTGGTCGAGAGAGAGAGAGACTGGTCGAGAGAGAGAGAGACTGGTCGAGAGAGAAAGAGAGAGAGAGACTGGTCGAGAGAGAGAGAGAGGGTGAGACTGGTCGAGAGAGAGAGAGAGACTGGTCAAGAGAGAGAGAGAGACTGGTCGAGAGAGAGAGAGACTGGTCAAGAGAGAGAGAGAGAGAGACTGGTCGAGATCGAGAGAGACTGGTCAAGAGAGAGAGAGAGAGACTGGTCGAGACACAGAGAAAGAGAGAGAGAGAGAGAGGTGGACGGACGGACGGCCAGACAGACACAGGGAAAGACATACTGACAGAGACAGACAGACAGACAGACAAAACACAGGGAGAGACTGGTAAACCGATTACATGAACAACACATGTTTATAAACTGATACTTTGAATTTGAGTCAGAAATATCAAACAGATTATCACTGTAAGAGACATTTACTAAAAAACGAATATCTTACCAACGATAAACATGGTGTATTCCCGATACCCTACTCGTGTCAGAACGCGTGGCCTCTTCTACCCGTATGTTAACGCTGAATGACGAATGAATGGCCAAGTCCCATTGATAACCCAGTCGCGCGCAATGAATGCTGGGATTGACGTAGTCAAAACCACTTGCGACAAACAGTGGTACAGCGGTAATATTTGGTTGATATGTAAATAAACGCTTGAGACAACACGTTATGTTGTGTATTCGCATCACGTTCAGCCTATAGGTCCAAGTCAAGAATCACTTGATGTCATATACATTGTATCTCCCCGTCGCAATTGTGAATGTTACACAAATATGTTGATTTTGACCGAAAGATTATTTAGATTTTGTGACATCGAAAACAGTTAAGGAACGCAATTGAAAAAAGAGAAATGTTGTTGATTGCTTTTAGAATACTGGGTGAGTGGGTGATTGTTAGTTATGCCATCGGAAATATACTACTTAAAAGAAGTTAAGGAACACACGATTATTTAATAAAGTTAATTTGTCATGACATAACATTATATTTTTTAACAAAGTTAATCTGTTATGTCATAACATGAGCCCTTAATTTTTTTTTCATATGACTGTAGTTTATCTGTTTTGAGATGAACACGATTTTTTTCATGAATATAGTTAATTTGTCATAACATATCGTCATATGAACAAATCGGCTTTCTCTGAATTCCTTTGAGTAGTTATTCTAGCTTTAGCACCGCGGTATGTACGTAGCCCTGACGTAGAAAACCAGGGGATGACAGCATGAGCACCACCACAATCAGGTCACACACTGTCACCACCCGATCCTCGTTTCGTCCGAGTGATGGTGGGTAACTTAGTGGTTAAAGCGGCGGATCGTCACGCCGAAGACCCGGGTTCGATTCCCTACATGGGTACAGTGTGTCCACCGCCGTGATATTGCTGGAATATTGCTAAAAACGGCGTCAAACAAAACTGACTGATTTAGTAAAGCATAAATTCTGAAGAAACGTACTGACCCCGAGGTTCCCAGCATAGTATAGTCAACACATAAAAACAGTCATTGTCAGTTCGATTAATATCAATTATACATGTATTGGAAGAACTCCTTTGGGAAGCGATAAAATTGACGCCTGTTAGGAAACAGTATCTCGCGGTTCAATTAACAGCATTTGTCACAATGTGGAGAGACGTGACATGGCGATCATTACCATGTCACTCCCATAGTCAATAACCCAATAAACTCACACTATTGGAATATATACAGGGTTTAACTGGGGGGCATGGGGAAAATTGTGAGACTGTGTCTCCACCGATGTATACACGTGGGAACAAACAGTCGAGTGTCGACGCATGTTGGTTGGGGGAGATATGGTTTTCTGGGCGATATTGGGCCTCATGCATGCACAAGCTAATATATTCCATTCAGGCCTCGACAGGTCAAGCAAAACAGATCCTGTATAGACACTTTGTCATGTGAAAATACCAAGCTAGCTGTGTGATACAGATGAAAGCTGACAGTGTTCTACACATGTATTGAAACTTTCCTGCTCCCATTTTATTTCCTTCAACGGGTACTACAGCAGCTACCACTACTACTACCACTACTACTACTACTACTACTACTACTACTACTACTACTACATGCTACTTCAACATGCCACTACTACTTGATGAACCAATTATTATTATTATCATGATCATTATTAATATCATCATCGTTATTATGATATCGGTACAATAATAATAAGAAGAAGAAGAAGAAGAAGAAGAATAATGTCGATACACCTGCATACCATGGACTGTTTCTAGAAGGTGGTGCGACAGTGCGTTATAACATACCACAAAAGTGTAAAATAAACAAGCCCTAAAAGTGATACAACCGTAAACAAACGCTGGTCGAGTGCTTTGACGTCACAGCCGTAGCCACGCCCACCATAAACAGCTGATCCTACCTGCACAGCGCTATTGCGTACGCATCGATTATACAGTCATTATGAATACTGTGAGGTGCCCCCAGCAGTACATGCACTTTCAGGTGAATGAACAGCACTGAGAATGCATGGCTCAGTCGTGACGTGGGTATGAGCTTGAATGATTTGGTGTAAACAACGTTGTTTGTTTGTTTGTTGTTTACTCGGCGGTCTGTAACTAACCTGACTGGACCATACAATCCAGTGACTGACATCATGAGCATCGACCTACGCAATTGGGATTCGATGACATGCATCAACCAAGTCAGCGAATCTTTCAGCCGGGTCCGTTTGTCGACTCCTATGATAAGTATGGGTTGCTAAAGACCGCTTCCAACACGGATCGTCAAGGGGGATATTAATCAAAATCATTTTAACAAAAAAACACGTATAGCCTCTTGAATGGTTTTTTTACGTCATAAATAGATTGTTTTTCAAAAGGATAGTTTGGGATCCACAGGTCATCGCAACACGTCTTCTATTCTAAGTAAAATCAAACAGATATATATTTTGGTGTGCTCAGATTGAAATTGGAAGGGTTAGGTAACAAGGTCTGGCCGGGTTAGTGTCGTTTCGTACCCTCGTGAGGATTAATATTTAACCCTGATGTACTTTGTCCAGGCCCGTCGTGATTTGGGTCAGAGTTGCTTCCCTTAGCGAGTCAGGGGTTCGAATCCCAAATTCAACCCAATTAAGATCAGTCCGTTCGTTTCAAATTGGATTAAATGTTCAAACATCGTCATGTATCTTTCTTTGTCGCAATATAACACAAAAATTGTGACAAACGTAATTCTGAACTACATGAAATAGGCTTAATCCTGTGATGTTATAAACATGTTGTATAGCATCTTGAGAGGTCATCAATAACTTGATTCATTAGTCACGGGGATATAACAGAAAGGGTAATGGACCCCCCGACCCCCACTGCCCCACTGACACCGGATTGAGTATCAAACGGTGAAGCTACGTAAGGTCAACGCAGAGCGGTATGCACAGACACTGTGTGTATACAAGGTTTTAACAATGAACATCAGTGTTGTACGGTGCAAATGTGACGCGGGTGTGAGGGGAGGTGCCACCCCTTACTCAGTAACGGGTGGGGCAAGGGTCATGTTTATATACAGGAAACAGAATGACAGGGGCTGGCGTTAAATCATTCATACGTTATAATGAGAGATTGTAAATGTTCAAAAATGCGGTTCAAATATGACTGGTCACGCTCTGGTGTTTTTATACATATAACATAGAATACAATCAAATACAATGAACAGTTCTTTTCTGAATAGGAAAAACAGAATGAATGGCAATGCTAAAGATGTTGGGCCTCCTTGGAGTCTAGGGATGGGGCGGAATAACGAGGTATATTAAAAGCAGGAGAGGGAACATGAATAGCGTTAAACGGTTATTCGATGGTGATGTGTGTGATACGGGTTCATTTTCTTCACCACAACCGTTTAACTATTCACATTTGGGCATATTTCTGAACAAACTATCCATTTTAAGACTATCCTGCTCCTCCCTACCCCCATCCCTTCTCCCTCATAGGGGATGCCCAATAAATGATATAAGTGTAAAGCTATTTATCAGGGCATTATAATTAGCTCATTAGCAGAAACCCGAGGTCTTTCATTAACTGCCCGACGAAGGAGGTCTGTTGAAAAGACCTAGGGCTTCTGCAAACGATAATGCCCTAAAAAAGGGCGTTGTCGTTATTATAGCTAAAATGGATGGAATTTGTTTTCAAATATAAAGAAACAACAATATCGGTTTTGAAACATTCACTGCAATCAACAGGAATGCCACTTACCCACTTTTACAAATATGAAAACTTCATAGAACAAACCAGATGACGTCACTATTGAATGTGACATCACCTATCCCTACCCTATGACGTCACCTAATAACCGGCTTGATAATGGCCCGTCGTCAAGCAATATGAGGGCATTATCAAGTTACAGTGGCCCGCTCATTTCTGATAACATGCGGGCGGTTTAATGATAATTCTATCCATTTTAGCTATAAAACTAAATAATATTGATCCGTGGCCTTTTTGAAATTCCAATTAAATACATTTATATAGATGCTATCTAGGGACATTACGAGCTAATATGATATGGGCGAGTAAATCTGCCCACCGACACCAGCTCGTTAAAGCGGTATGGTAACCTCGGACCTTATCTAATGGAAGGGCGGGGTCATAGGGGTGCTCCTAAGAGACAGAGTGGTTGCTCGGTGATCTACAAAACAAGTATGTTGAATTAAACGAAACAGAAAGGGCGCGCCTCTGAAATAACGCTGGACAATGACCACGACACTAAAGAACAATGACCACAACATACAAAATATTTAGTTTCGTCACCGAATATATTTAGAAAGTAAATAACAATACCACCACCCGTAACTACACCCGTATATAAATAAGATTAAGTGGCAGTTCTTACTCTTTGTAACAAGACCAACAACGGTATAAAGTTACTATTTCAACAAGCATCGGGAAAGACCAGACTAATGTGTTGACAAAGGTAATTCGATTGACTGTTTCGGACAGCGTGGAAAGGATAAGCTTAGAACTGTCCCGGAGGTTGTGAAACCAACACTGCCGTGTAAACAAGCGACAGAGGTACCGTTAGCCGTTTAAGACCAGAACGGTGACGCGAGGACTGGGTTTCGTCTGTGTCCAGGATGCGGTCTTGATCGCGTATCGAGGCGGGACATCCCTCGATATCAAGTGGAAGACAAGGAATTCTTTTCAGTCTGATATCGCATGTATGTGCAGAAAAATGAAGTATGTTTTCGCGCCCTGGGTGAAAGAGGTCACGTAGGAGATCTTAAGCGGGTTCGGTAATGTTTGCTTTGGAATAAATATTCGGCACGTCGAACGTGTCGCATTCAAAGAATTGCCTTATTAGATCAATTACTTGAACAGATTGGCGCAAGCGGGGCACAGTTGCGACAACCAGTCTATCATATTTCATGCCATAGGTTGAAGACCTCAAATATTTCAGGTTAAAAGTATTAAACTTTATTTAAAATAACTGATCTTTCTGGCACCTAAGCAAACATTTTTGTTCACATGTGAAATTTAAAACGAAACGAAATGGAAGTCTTTAGTTGAAGAACATTCTGTTCTTTTCAGGTTGGTAACATAAACAGGTTTTCTCTGACGACGATTGTAACATGATCGGAATCGGTTCT